TCGGGCAAAGTATTAATGGGTTTTTAATAAAATCTCAATAGTAAGTTGCACGGAGTCTGGAATTGTGCCCGATATAAGGCAATGGGCTGACCCTCTATTACATGAACTGGACTCATAACATAAAAAATAAAAAGTGCGTGTTACATTGTACAGTGGCATTAAGTGCTGTATTGTGCACCTCTGCTTATCCCTTCGGGGATAAAAGGCGTGATATTATGTTATGTTATCTTTTCCTTTTGGAATATGAAAGTCTTTACTGTTGACTTTTGCTAACCACTTCAGGAAATATAATTAAAAAATAGTTTACACAAAAACATTAGCGAAAGATTGTACCACCAACCGACCTCGCTTGTCCAGACGATACACATTTATAAAAGTAGGTATAGCAACTAGCAACACACCCCGCTGTGCCGTTATTGTACAATATTTGTTTATCATTGCCAGACCACTGCCTACTCTATTGACATAACTCACTTAGTTTCAGTTACACCTTTTAGTGAGCTCTGAACCACGGAACAAGTTAGTTCCGATAATTGTCCAATTATCATAAAAACTTTTTTGTACATTTTTTTGTGTGTCGTTTTTTTGGAATTTTCGTCTGGTTTTTTTTTAATGTCAGATTTATACGCGTATCTGAGAAAAGTGTTTAATATAATTTTTTTTAAGTTTTGTCTAGTCATCTTAATCCAAAGTGTTCAGTAAAAAAATATTTTAAAATTGCATCTCTTTTTTTTCAATTTTGTCCAGATAACCCATTCAATTGAATTCTGCGTTAGTTTAGACTTTTCGGTTCGTAGAACTTTGTCAAGTTTTTGATGGTGCCAATTCTTGAGTGATAACCTTTCTTTGTAATCAAGTTTTGTTATAAGTGTCTGATGGGGGACATACGTGTGCAGGAGTGGAGGTGTGCAAGATGTAGAGTATGTATTTATTTTCGTTCTTTCATGTTTTTGTCTATTGTTTAGTTATAGAATCCGACATATTAGAATATGGGACTTGTAATTGGAATGTACAATGATTGTGCAGTATCGTCATTTTATTTTTTGTTATTTTTTTTTTATTTTATGTTTTACTTTTAATTTTAAGTATCTCTTAGTTTTTAGTTTATTTTTCAATTGTCACAAATATTGATAAAAATGTCATCGTTAGGCTACTGTGCATGTTCTGACACCTTAAAATGTAAATGTGGAAATACTTAGATGTAAGACCTAATATAGCAACTACTGGTTGTCCAAATTATAAATAAATAAATAAGTATCTCTGTCCATACCTTCAGAGGGTTAAAATATAGTGTTACTAATAATTATGTGTACGTGAATATGAAGAATGATGGGTCTAATTTCTGTCAAAATTAATTGCAGTGACTTTGAAACAAGGTACATAGGTAAATATATATATCTTCATTTATTTACCACATTAACAGCCTATAAGTGGCCACTGCTGACCAAAAGCCTTTTCTCACACGGAGAAGGTTTGAGCATTAATCACCACGCTTGCTCAATGTAGGTTGGCGATTTCAAACCTATAATTACATATTATAAGCCCAGGTTTCCTCAAAATGTTTACCTTCATCATTTGTGTACATAGTACATCACACAATCATGTCCAACAAACATTTTGTGACCAAAATAAACCTGTACAAAAAGATCAACAACCAATTTTCCTAATATCTTTTCCAACGTTTGTTTCCAACAGTTTTATTTTTGGAAATTTACACCGAAAATGTCAGAAATTGTAGAACCGGAAAGGTCCCTAGTTTCGTCAAAAACGTTGTCTATGAAGCGTAAATGTAGGAGTTTACGCTTTCATTTTGTAAACGATTTTTTTGAGTCCTTTTTTATTTTTTTACCGGTTTCCTTGCTTTCAAATTTCAGTTGATTTTTGAAGTGAAAACTTCTTTAGCGGCGTTGTACCTACACTTTTTTTGTACAACATAACATCACTCCTTTTATCCCCGAAGGGGTAGGCAGAGGTGCACATTATACCACTGTACAATGTAACACCCACTTTTCACTATTTATGTTATGAGTCCCATGTAATAAGGGGTGAGCCATTGCCATATACCGGGCACATTTCCAGACTCCGTGCTACTACTGAGAATTTTTTAAAAACCCAGTAATACTTTGCCCGACCCGAGAATCGAACCCGAGACCCCTTGTCCGGCAGTCGTACTAGCGACAACTCGGCCAACGAGGCAGTCAACTTTTTTTGTAATGGGTAAAAAATGCTAAACATGCGTCAGGACACGTGACCCTGACCGAAAATTCGTAAAACGGATGGAGCGCAAGGCGTTTACGGGAATGTTCGTGTGTCTTTATGTATTTAATAGTATTTTTAAATAATGAATTTGTTTTGAGGTATGTCAAATGATCGCCATCTTAGAACAACGAAATACAAAACTGCTATTGATGCGGTCTTTATTAGACATTTAAATAGGTTCGAATCAAAACGATTCGTTTCTTACTTCAGCTATGATAAAACAATGAAAACTTCCCTTCATAATATTCATAGTTAAACTTCGAGCAAAATCTATATTACAAAATAGAAGTTAACATTAACACTGAAATGAAACTAGTATCTGTTAATAAACCATTAGTTATATTAAACCAAATAACGGAAGACATAAAATAGTTTAACTAAACGATCTTGAACCACAGTTTACAATATTAATAAAACAGTCAATTTTAACATACTTATGTGCAGTTAACTCCTAAATTGAGAGGTTTAAAATGTTCATGTTGGACAGGTTTGTGTATTAGTTAGTTATTTTAACTACCTCGTCGACTCTAACTACTGAATATTTCTTAGTAAAATGTTGATCTTTGGCGATTTGAACTCACTCAGTTGCTTACGGAGAACAGAAGATTGAACCTAGTAAAAGTTTAAAAGAGTTCTTCGTCGAGCTAAGCAATTGACAGAGACTGATGATGATTTCTATTCTAAAACTAATTGACTTGTCGGTAACGCACTTGTAACGCCTCTGGTGTTCCAGGTGTTCATGGGCCATGCAGATTGCTTACCATCAGATGATCTGTGTGCTCGTTTACCTTACCGGTTTATCGTATAAAAATATTATAGTACAGAGTTTTTAACGGAGTTTGTATTGTTGACTACCTCGTTAGTCAAGTGGTCGCAAGTGCGACTAGACGCTAGACGCCTCGAGTTCCATTCTCGAGTCGGGCAAACTGGGTATTACTGGTTTTTTTAATCTTATTAGTAGCACGGAGTCTGGAATTGTGCCCGGTAAATGGCAATAGAACCCTATTGCATGGGACTTATACCTAACATAAATAGTGAAAACTAGATGTTACATTATACAGTGGCATTAAGTGCCATAATATCAAATAACACCTCTGCAAAACCCTTCGGGAATAAAAAAAGGCGTGGTGTTATGTTAGGTATATATTGTAATATATAATAATGAGCCACATATTATATTACGAATGTATTTCTCAACACACTGAATTTAGTCTGAAACTCTTAGATTCAACCCTAAACTCTGATAGCACAGAATATTGCGATTCTGAACTACAATCATTAATCACATAGCTTACCAACGCTTACAACAAATAAATTAGAAATAGGCTATTTTTAAAGCTTTTAAAATATTTTGAAGACATTTTAAACCTGTTTCTATGACAGATTGGTTGTAATAGATCTATTAGCATATCATTTGTCTTTACCTGTAACGCCTACGCAGACCATTACGTTTATGTAAGCAAAGTAGATATTGAAACAATACATCCACCGTGTCAGTTACAAATTAATTCTGCGAAAATGACCATGTTCCATGAAAACCCTGGTTTGATGAAAACTTGTACTTATTTATAACTTTAAATAGATATATAACATCACGCCTATTATTCCCGAAAGGGGGCAGAGGTGTACATTACGGCACTTAATGCCACTGTACAATGTAACACCCACTTTTCAATATTATATGTTATGAGTATAGATATGTGTAGAATGTCTCGTAACGCAATTGTAGTCATATTTGTTGGATTATTATATACTTATTTACATGAAGAAGGTCATTCTCAAGTCATTGAACATACATATGTATATGTACATACATAACTTCACGCCGGTCTCCCATGGGGGTAGGCATAGACTGGAACGCCAATTGCTACGATTCTTACCTACCTCTTTCTGTTAGTCACAGAACAAAAATACTATTTCAGATTTTGACATTTTCGGAGCCGCGGAAGACTTTTTTTTTTTTTTAGGTGGAAAATCATCGACCCGTTAGGTTCTCCGCTACTCCAAATCGGCATCGGCCGTATTGGGCCCCATCTGTGGTGGTCTGATGGCTCTTTGAAGCGCGCGCGGTACGCGACGCGCCGTACGCTCGGGTCTGTTTCTGGTCGGACGGGAAGCCACCCATGCTCGCCGTCCGCAGTCCCGCGCTTACGATGGCCGGAGATCGTCCCGCGATCCCCGACGCCCGGTGTGTCCTTCGCGATGGCTGGGTTGCGAGGAGGCAGCGCTTCGCTGCCTCACGCCTCCCGCCTCCTCCTTAGCTAGCATGACTGCTTCGCAAAAGGAGGAGCCGCGGAAGACTTAACGAGTTGCCGAGGCTCCGGCGCGAAGTGCAGGAGTAGGAACGGGGTATTTTCAGTCAGTAAGAGTCTGACACTCCCTTCCCCTCACCCGGGCGGGAGAAGTATGCGATGATTTTCCCCCCTTAAAAAAAATGTTAAGAGAAAGTTGTTATAAAATAGTAAAAAAATCATCAAAAAATGGGATAATCAGGTCAGTGAGTTGAAAAGACGGATCGCTTGTCTAGTATAATATAAATATGCGATGATTTTCCCTCCTCAAAAAAAAAAGTTTTTGTCATTTTAACTTTTTGACAGTTGGTTGATTTCTCTCTAACAAGTTAACCACCAAGATGTTTTATTGGAATCCTGGACCAGAAATATTCTATGGACATTTTACATCGACTTTCATCCATAATAAAATTGCTTCAACCTTGGCACTAATTCCTATTCTTCTTCCAGACCGGCATGAACCGCGGCTCCCGGGAGGAGTTGCTTGGCAGCTCCCAGGAAGCCCTGCGGAACAGCCAGCATGACCTGCGGCAGGTGTACGAGCGACCACTCACCAAGGAGGAGAAGACCTTCCTTCTGCATGCTGATAGGGGAGACTATGTCACTGTTAAGAGGTGAGAATGTTTTTGGAGACGGATTACCTGATGGTAAGCAATCGGACCAATGTGCAGTTTGAGTTTTTATCCACATCCTATATCCATCGGTTTAGGTTTAAAACCGGTTATTAATAGAGACAATAAGGCTTCCTATATCTAATTCTCTTTATTTTAGAAGAAGAGACAATGGCGGAATGATATATGCACATTCACACACTCCCCAATTTCTGTATTCTCAATAATCCTCTAATTCCTAATCTCCAAAAGGCCGGTAACGCACTTGTAACACCTCTGGTGTTTCGGGTGTCCATTGGTGGCGCCGATTGCTTACCATCAGGTGTCCCGTATGTTCGTTTACCGGCTAATTCCATAAAAAACAAAGACATGGGGTTATGGACAGAATTTAATGGTGTCTCACCTTAAACCCTTAAATAAAAGCAAATTAGTCTTAGATAAAGGCCACTTGCCTTTATTTAAGACTAATTTAGCTTCAAGTTTTAAGACTAAGACACTGACAAACGGTGAAGAAAAACATCTTGAGGAAACCTGGGCTAATAATTTCTAATTAGGTAAAAATTTGGTATAAGTGGTGATTCATACTCAAACCTCCTCCCTGTGAGAAGAGGCTTTGCTCAACAGTGGGCATTTATAGGCTTTTGATGATGAAGACATTACCTCTTTAAAGCTTTGACCCATTTTTCCAAATCCCCTGTCAATAGAGGTAGACTAGCTATTTATAAAACGGCATGCTTATTGACATAATGCCATAGGTGACCTATTAACTTAACGAATTGACTATTAAATACGTAGTTTGACGTCCTTCTCCTTGATGTAATGATGCAGTTTCACAATACTCCAGGGAGCTGAGACTAGTGTATGGCACGATAGCATCGATTTTCTGCACATACATATTTCGGTTACGATATATATTTCTTGGTACCTTAACTTAAGGAGTTTGTAGGAGCGGTAAATAGTTAGTATAGTTACTATAACACATCTTAAAATGAGATTAGTTATTTTCATCATCACCAACATCAACAGTCTATAAATGCCCACTGCTGAGCAAAGCCTCTTCTCACACGGATAAGGTTTGAGCATTAATCACCACGCTTGCTCAATGCAGGTTGGCGATTCCAAACTTATAATTAGAATTCAAATCCAGGTTTCCTAACGATGTTTTCCTTCATCGTTTGTCAGTGGTGTCTAAATAATCTTGGAAAGTACATTTAACTCGGAAAAAGGTACCTAATTTGGTACTTGCAGTTGGTAGGTTTTGAACCCTCATGCATTTGAAGCAGGCGTCGAAAACCTCTGGGCCAACACGACCTCCAAATCAAATTAGTTATTTTAGATTATTTTTGATGGTTAATCAATTAGCTTATATATATATGGATATACACTTTGGTAGATTAATCAGAATAAACCAATAAATCGATTGTTTCTTGATTAAGGAACAAACCTAAACATTTATTTTGACACAAAAATAAATATTATGAAAAGCATTCAAGTATATCAAATGCAAATCAAACGATTTACTTTAATACATTGTTTTATGGTATATGAGTGCATCTCCAAAGTCTGCGGAATAGGGTCATGGTTCAGTTCAGCATGTTTTAAACAAATGCTGACACTTATATCCTATTGGCACTTAAATAAAATAATAAAGCCTTATATTTCTAACAAATTTACAAAGAATTGAAAAAAAAATAATGGTGTTACGTAATAAGATTTCCTTTACTTTACATCCTTCTCAGTTTACGTTACTTGTAGTAAGAACCCCTCGCTTTATTCGAAGGTGAAGGCCTCTTTCAGTGCTTTCCATTTGTCCCTGTTCTTAACGATATCCATCCAATGTTTGCCAGCCACTTGGATTATGTCGTCTGTCCACCGCGCCTGTATGGTCTGCCTCTTTTTCTCGTGCCTGCCGGGCCTGGCCAAGATGTTAGGTTGGCCCTTATATACGTATAACATGAAATCAACGTCCTCTCTGAGTTTGTTACGGCATTTCTTCTCTGAGTAGTCAATTTGAAAAGAGGACTTTTTTACTGCACCTCTATTTAAATATTTAAGCAAACCAAATTTCTCCACTAGTAACCTACTGCATATCAAAAAACCGTAAAACAAAATACTGATTTCCACATAAATTGTTGAATATTAGGTTAGGTTAGGTTTTTTTTTTAACCCTCGAGCCGAAGGCGCGCGCCTTTGAGGCGATGCACGTGGCTACATATTGCTACGGTGCAGGAGACGAGGCCCGGATGGACGGGTCGGCACTGTAATGCGGGGCTGCGGATGAATTTGGACTCCCGCGGCCCCGCACGCACGTGCGAGGAGACACTGGGGTGGTTTTAGCCGGTAAGAGTCCGGCACACCCCTCCGCCTTTCCCCAGGCGGAGGCAGTTCATGAGGATTTCCCCCCATCAAAAAAAAAAAAAGGTTTTTTTTACGACCTTAAGATTATTGGTTAGGTTAGGTTAAGTTTGTTGCACTCGAAAAATTATTAAATTTACTTTTAGTTAAAAGAGTCATTCAGTAAAACAGTTAAGCTTTAAAGATCTAACAGCATAGTATAATTGATTTATTTGATGAGCAAATTTAGTGTGCAATTCAGTATTTTTGGTGGTAATTTCGAACATTTTGATTGAAAAAAGCACTAATAAACACCACCCAATCGGAAGTATTAGCCTAATCTAATTTCTTTTTTCAAATTAACGTGTAAATATGCTTTTTTAGCCTATTTGCAATAGACTTTCAACCATCTAAGTTCAAGTCTAGTCTATATATATAAAAATGAAACCCGTTTCCCGTTGACACGCCATAACTTGAAAATGGCTAGACCGATTTGGGTAATTTTTTTTTTGTTGTGTTTGTTATTATCAGGAGACGGTTCTTATGATAGAAAAAAATCCTGAAAATCCTACGGGAACGGGAGAAAACGAGATTGCGCGTACAAAGTCGCGGGCAGAAGCTAGTTAATTATAATATGCTACAAATAACACATGCTCTATATACGAATACTGTAGTGACCTGGAAACCAGCAGTATCATTCGGCATTACATTTAGGACGGCTCACCTTGCTAATAAACAGGATTAGAGCAGACATACCACAACTTGTACTGATTCACTATAATTGACTACTTACCCGTATGAAGGTTCTACCGCTATATTTTGATACCTACTTTTAACAGTTTATTATTTGTGGGTAAAGTTGTTTTTTTTACTTCTGTTTTGTTGCTGTTTTTGTTTAGATATATTTATTTATTTGACTGTGACTGCCACGTTGGCCGAGTGGTCGCAAGTGCGACTGCCGGGCAAAGGGTCTCGGGTTCGATTCCCGGGTCGGGCAAGGTATTACTGGGTTTTTAAAAAAAATCTCAGTAGTAACACGGAGTCTGGAAATGTGCCCGGTATATGGCAATAGGCTCACCCCCTATTACATGGGACTCATAACATAAATAGTGAAAAGTGGGTGTTACATTGTACAGTGTCATAATGTGCACCTCTGCCTACCCCTTCGGGGATCAAAGGCGTGATGTTATGTTATTTATTTATTTATACTTTATTGCATACACAGAAAAATTGTAAACATTTCAATAGTAATTGGAGTACAATGGGCGATCTTATCACACACTATATTATGTAGCTTAGACCTGCGACGTTTAATAATGAATTTGTACAAGGTATCACCCTTTCTTGTTATTAGGATGAATTTCTTCTTTCCAATGTTCTCTTCTTATATACAAACTAGCTGTTGTCCGCGGATTCGTCCGCGTAGAATAATGACTTCTGGCAGAATTTAGGCTTTTGAATTAGTCTTTATCAAGGGATATTGTACGGTAGCCATATGTCGTCAAAATTGATTCAGTACCTAGTACTGAATCTAGGGCTCCTCCCCCGTAAATGATAGCGTGATAATATGTAGCCTATATGTTGACCAGACCTGTTAGTAATATTCATGTCAAATTCGAAGTACATCCATGCAGTACTTTTTGAGATCATCCCGGACATACATACAGACAAACAGACAAAAATTTTAAAACCATATTTTTAGCTTTGGTATCGATTGTACGGTTTTATTATACTTATGTATAGATAGATTAAAAACTATCTAGGTAGCTAATTGTGAAAGCTTGGAAAAGTTGGTAACCATGACTTTTCTCGCTATTGTAGAATGAGTCGCCTAAGAGACTCCATATTTACAGACCACATAGACATAAGGACGCAACAAAAATATCCTACTTATATTATAAATGCGAAATTTTGTGAGGATGTGTGTGTGTGTGTGTGTTTGTTTGTTACTCTTTCACGTCAAAACGGCTGAAGGGATCGAGATGAAATTTGGAAAAGGGGTAGATTATGATCGGGAATAACACATAGGCTATTTTTTATCCTACGGGAACGCGGGCGGAACCGCTGGCAGAAGCTGGTTTTAGATAAACTGCAGCAGGTCGCTGCTACAGTTTTCCTAAATACCAGGTATAGAGACCGCTCTCTAATAAACATGAACCTTCTCAACTACATTCTCCCATCTAAATAAAGAATATAGCAAACAGCTTTATATCAAGGAAACCCATAGTAAACTAGAAGAGTTTATGTACAACTAGCTTTTACCCGCGGCTTCACTCGCGTCACAAAAGGATAAAAAGTAGCCTATGCGACATATACCAATACATACAGCGCCATCTATACCAATACTTTTGTTTTCCCTTGGGAATATCAAATTTTTCCGGGATAAAAAGTACCCTATTATTTAATCTGGACTTCCAACTTTACATCTGCAAAAATTCAAAGCAATCTGTTAAGTAGTTACGGCATGAAAGCAGAACAAACAAACAAACTCACTTTCCAATTTATAATATTAGTAAGGATAATATATTGCGACAGCCCTATTTTATTCTTTTTTTTTTTCTTTAATATGTGTGACTAAAAGCTGTATTTTTTGTCCACAGATTAATAGACCAGTACATATCCCAGCCAGAGGTACTGGACATCAATTGTGTGGACCCTCTGAACAGATCAGCGCTCATAGCAGCCATCGAGAATGAGAACATTGAACTCATCAAACTACTGCTCATCTCAGGAATCAAAGTCAAGGTATGTTATCTATTCTTTACTAGCCTTTAGTATCTACGACTTTGTCTGCGCGAATTAGCTTATGTCCTTCTTCGGAATCGTAATATATTTATGCAAAAGATAGGGTAAGTAAATAAAGCGTTAAAGAAGTATGAACTGAACAGACAAACTTACTTGCAATACGAACTGGATTGCATACGCAAGGTTACGAAGCAAATATAATTTTATACATTTACCAATACATAACATAACATAACGTTTTTTTATCCCCGAAGGGTTAGGCAGAGGTGCACATTACGGCACTTAAACTGTCAAACACCAAGCGGTCACCGGTGACCGCAACCTATTGTTCTATAATTGTGTCTATAATGACGGTACTCGACGAGTTAATGCCACTGTACAATGTAACACCCACTTTTCACTATTTATGTTATGAGTCCCATGTAATAGGGGGTGAGCCTATTGCCATATACCGGGCACAATTCCAGGCTCCGTGCTGCAAAAATTCAGTAGTACTTTGCCCAACCCGGAAATCGAACCCGAGACTCCTTGCCCGGCAGTCGCACTTGCGTTCACTCCGGAATGGACAGGACAGGACTGCCGGACATGAGGTCTCGGGTTCGATTCCCGGGTCGGGCAAAGTATTACTGGGTTTTAAAACAAAATCCTCAGTAGTAGCACGGAATCTGAAACTGTGCCCGGTATATGGCAATAGGTTCACCCCCTGTTACACGGGACTCATAACATAAATAGTGAAAAGTGGGTGTTACATTGTACATCATCAGCCTGTTCTCGTCCACTGCTGGACATAAGCCTCTCCAATGGCACGCCACTGAGCTCGGTCTTCAGCTCTACGCATCCAACCACTACCAGCCACTTTACGTATATCGTCACTCCACCTAGCTGGAGGGCGCCCTACACTACGTTTGCCTAGACGCGGTCTCCACTCCAGAACACGTCTACCCCAGCGGTCATCGGTTCTTCGACAAATGTGACCGGCCCACTGCCATTTCAGCTTGCTAATCCTTTGGGCTACATCGGTAACTTTAGTTCTCTGTCGGATCACCTCGTTACGGATCCTATCCTTCAGAGATACTCCGAGCATAGCCCTCTCCATAGCTCGCTGCGCTACCTTAAATTGGTGGACCAGTCGCACTGTTAGTGTCCACGTCTCGGCTCCGTATGTCATGACTGGTAGGACGCACTCGTTGAAGACTTTCGTCTTCAGGCTTTGCGGTAGAGTTGACGAAAAGACCCGATAGAGTTTCCTATATGCCGCCCAGCCAAGCTGTATCCTTCTACGAGCCTCCCTCTCGAAGTTGTTTCTACAAAACTGTAGGGTTTGTCCTAGGTAGACATACTCCTGAACAACCTCGAGAGTCGACCCATTCAGGGTGATCGGCTCCGGAAGAACATGTTCATTGAACATGACCTTCGTTTTGTCTAGGTTCATCCGGAGTCCAATGCGAGCAGAAGAATCAGCCAGGCGGTTCAGCATATATTGTAGGTCTTCTACGGTTTCAGCCACGATGACGATGTCATCTGCAAATCTCAAGTGTGAGAGATACTTGCCGTTTATATTTATGGCCCGTCCATTCCAGTGCAGCGTCTTGAACATATCCTCCAAAGCATCGGTAAATAATTTGGGAGAAATGACATCGCCTTGTCTTACCCCCCGATGCAGGTGGACAGATTCAGACTGCTGGTTCTGTACTTGGACGACCATAGTTGCAGCATCGTATAGATCTCTCAGCACTTGGACATATCGCCAATCGACTTGGCACCGTTGCAAGGACTCCAGAACAGACCAGGTTTCAATAGAGTCATAGGCTTTCTCGTAATCCACAAAGGCTAGGCATAGGGGCAGATTATACTCTTCAGTCTTCTGTATAATCTGCCTCATTGTATGTATGTGGTCTATGGTGTCGTATCCTTCTCGGAACCCAGCCTGTTCAGGGGGCTGAAACTCATCGAGTCTTCGGGCGAGACGGTTAGTGATGACTCTGTAAAACAGCTTGTAGACATGGCTCAGAAGGGAAATAGGTCGATAGTTCTTCAAGAGGGTTTTGTCTCCTTTCTTAAAGAACATAACGACAACACTCCTGCTCCATGCTCTTGGAGTTCTCCCCGAGAAGAGAACGGAATCAAACATACGTCGGAGTCGCTCGAGCACCGTTACATTGTACAATGGCATAATGTGCAATTGTGCACCTCTGCCAACCCCTTCGGGGATAAAAGGCGTGATGTTATTTTATGTTATGTTACTACATTCATTGATTCCTAAAACGACATTATCTTCTCCGTGTCAAATGAACTTCAAAAAATAGGTCATAATTCCATCCTCCCCATATTTTCTTTGACACACTACATAAAATACTACGAGCTAAAAGCTATTTTGTTTCGTAAAAAATCGATGGTAAAGAAAAGCTGACTTCCCAAGGGAAATCAAGTCTCCCCAATAGTTTGCATGATCACATCGACCGTATATTTTCATAAAAGCCTCTAGGTAAGTTTAGTACGATACAAGAAAATATTACCTTAATGTCTTAGTTTTACTAGATTTATGGAATCGTTTCGAAAATAGGTTCAACTTTTGTTTAACTCGTCGAGTACCGTCATTATAGACACAATTATAGAACAATAGGTTGCGGTCACCGGTGACCGCTTGGTGTTTGACAGTTTAAAGCTACTTTTACTTATGCTATAGAATAGCAAGCTAAAAAATGTACAAAAATCGAACGTCTGTCGCATCGGAAGCATGCCAGACGAAACAAAACGCAAGCGTTGTTTCACGTCGGTTTTCTGCCTGTGAGGCCGTGGTATCACTCCGGTCGAGCCGGCCCAATCGTGTCGAAGCATGGCTCTCCCACACTTTAACTAACAGAATAATAAGCAACATAAAACATCCTTCTTGTTATCATAGCAATAAAAAAATATTATTATAATAGAAATCCGAGTACCAGCCCACACAAAACTATAAGCCCATATTACTTTAAAAAATATATAAGTACATATTTATGACTACAAGAAGAACAACTTTGAAGTAATGGTTCAAGGATCACTTTAACATTATACTTTATGGTTATTGCTAATAAAATACAAAATCCATTGAAAGCTTAATATGTGAATATAGTGTATATTATTGAATTTTTATACGATGCCGGTACTAATAAAACAATAAGCTTTGTTATGACTAGGTGTTGATATTATTACGGGTTTGCCTTCGATTTTTTTATTTGAGTTTCGGCCGAACGTAGATAATGATTCAATTGAAATGAAACATAAATTACCTTTTCGCTTCCTCGCCAAAATATGTAGATTACTGTATGCGAGATAATTTTTTAAAGCAATATTTATAATGGTTGCTAAATTGCGAAAATGTAGTAAATAAGTTACAGAGATGGAAGTTAATTATTATGTTTTCGGCTTACTCACGTAAAAATTTGACGAGGAACTCGACTAGTTTCAGGCCTAGTCAATTACTACGTGAGCAAGCCGAAAACACAATAATTTATTTATTATGTCTCACGAAAGTTACAATACAAATAGAGATGGAAGTTGTATTTCAATAGGTAACTACCTATTTAAGTTTAAATACTGAGAAATCATTGGAACGTATTTACGCTGCAAGTTATACAAAAAACGAAGGGCTCGAACAAAACGAACTACATGCATCGTTTATTTAATGAGAAGATACTTACAACATACTTACTATTAAAATTAGTGATATACTGAACAAGACAAAAAAAAATATTTTCTTTAGTTTAAAGAATTACTAACACACAGAAAAAATTAGTATGTGCTACTAACACTATCACAATTTAACTAACAAAAACTGCGTTTAAAAACCGACTTCAAAAAACAAAAAGAAAGAAGTAAAAATCAAAAAATAACTATTATTAGTGCTAATAGGTTACCCACCCACTGATAGGTTAGAAGTCGGCGCCATAAGTTCCATACAAAATTATTCATTAGAACCTTAATAGATACCTAAGTTACAATTTTGTGGCCATTAAGTTATATCATTATGATATGAGCTAAACACAAGGTAGTTAATATAAACCGCTGAGGAGTTCCCTCGACTGTCTGTCGGCTCCATCATCAGGTCGACTCCAGACCCTTATCAAATTGTAGTGTTTAAAAATACTAATTAAAAAATATTAATAGGATTCCATCATCAGATCATATCCTGACTTCATGGAAAAACAAACATAGTACCTCCTCCTTTTTCTGAAGTCGGTAAAAATGACGATTTACCAATGTAAATATACTGAGAAAAGCTCGACTAGTTTCGAGTACGATAGTAAACGCGAGGAAGAGTCCCTCTGTGAGACGAAACAAGTAGAGCTTTCCTCGGTATATTTACGTAATCAAACCATTTTTATAGTTAAGTCAGAATGTCTCACGAGCTATTATAAAACAATATCACATTATATTCAACTCAGGAATCAAATTGAGCATCTTATACTCAATAATACATTGTACTAATATAAAGACCAACAACGAAGCGATACACAAATACTGCTACACTCTAAAATAATGCTATCAACATAAATAGGTTAAGTATGTTACCGGCCCGTGTGGAACTCATACTACACCTATGTACTATGGTAACTAATCATATTTCTTATATAACTCAGTATACGAAGAGAGAATATTACTTAAAACATACATTGTTGTTTTAAGATAACATTATAAATAACATTTGGTTGTGTTTCTGGACGAGATCGGAAAACATCAACGTGTTTTAATGCTTATTTGAAGAGCATAAAATTACCCTAAAATTTTCGTTATCTACATCATATTTTACGAAGCCACGGAAAACTTAACGGGTTTCCGGGGCTTCGGCTCGAAAAGCAGTAGTAGAAATGGATGGTTTTGAGTTAGTAAGAGTCTGATACTCCCACTCGCTTCACCCAAAGCAGGAGAAGTTCTTAGATGACTTTCTCCTCACAAAAAACTTACGTATTTTGATATAACTAGTCCATATTCTTAGTCATCTTGAAATCGTAGACTCATCTTTTTAAAACGAAAGAGGTATGTAGGAATTGTGGTAATTGGCGTTTCCATAGTCTCTGCCTATTATCCCTATGAGAGACAGGTGTGTAGTTATGTATGTATGTTTTGAAAATATAAAAACATTTTATAAGTAATCACGTGTATCAGAGATGCGGTAATATCAATGTGATTGATTCCAGCAGACGGTTTTACGACGCAACTATTTATGAGTTTACTTAAATCATTCCCGGTCGTGCAAAAAGTTAAATAAATCGATAAACATCGAAAAGTTTTCATGTTTCAGAAATGTATCAAAACAACTTGAATATTGCTTTTACTGAAGATGTAGGGAGATGAGTACGGCCACTATGGTAAACCAGGTGTTGCAAGCATGACTGCCGAGTTACTGAACACGGTTCAGTTTCACTCTCGAGAAAACGACCACAGCGTTGTGCCTAAGACAGAGGACATTTCTTTTTAGAAGGGTGCTTTGCAATACAATACCATTTACAACAAATACTTTGCCCGACTTGAATAGAATATCAATATAAGTAATGTTTGTAACATGTTGCTTACCATCAGGTGATCCGTCTCCTCGTTTACCGGCTGATGCCATAAAAAAAATGTTCATCAAAAGTTTTCAGTCAGTTAAGGTGCACTCACCTGGAGCATTCACGTGTAATGTAACATTATAGATTCGACTTTGAGCATTACACTACAATAATACCTCCCTGACTAACGAGCATTTGCGTGTAATGTAACATATTGATTCGACTTTGAGCATTTATCATAGCAAGATGCCAGACATTGATGTTACAAGTTGTATCAAGATATTACACATTGTATCATTACAAGGTGCGCATTGTAATGCTCGGTTCTCCTCCTGCACTGATGTAATGATCAGATCTGTAACGTTCGCATACAAGCGAATGCTCCCCGTGAGGGAGCACCTTTAAAGTTATCAGTACTCATCAATTTTTTGTGCATAACTTTTCACGAATATTTTAGTCCAGAATTAACTAATAAGAAAATTGTGTATAACATTAAATTTATCAACTGTTCCCAGGACGCTCTTCTACACGCCATCAAAGAAGAGTACGTGGAAGCTGTGGAGTTACTTCTGCAATGGGAAGAAGACAATCACGTTCCCGGAGAACCTTACGTAAGTGTTAAAATTAACTAGTTAATTAGTAATAAGCCATTATGTTCTATCAAAGTGGATATAGACAACATAACTACTATAAACATTGAAGATAAAGCTTCACAATGAGATTGGAAGATGCGCCACTTCACGATCCATTTTGTGTTCCAAAAAAGATTTCAGTCCCTCAGTGAACTCAGTTGAAATAAAAAAAAACTAATAATCGAGAGTTACTCACGTGAATATACTGAGAAAAGCTCTACTAGTTAGAAAAGTGCAGTTGGATGCAAACGCTCGTGGCGTCCAGCAGAGGGCGCGGTGGGCTCGCACCGCAAGCAGTAACACCGATGCAAACGCCAACGCTTTAAAACTAGTAGAGCTTTCCTCAGTATTTTTACGTAAGGAACCCGTATTTAGTATGTCTCACGATAGTTAGATATTATAAAAAAGAAAAATACTTTCCATCAGTTTTCGGGTACAAGGCAGTATGATTGCAATGCAACCGCTAGTTGTTGATTATGTTATGAAGTTATGTTTCGATTCGAAATCAATGTGAATTTTCTTTCAACCTTCAACTTCCTGTTTTCAGAATTCCAAAAACCAAAACATATTATGATCGATACCATAATCTCTATCAGGGACACCAATGAAATATTTATCCCAACACATAATTAATGGTTCCACCTTACAATATTAATGGCGCGACCCACAATGTCACATGAGCATCACTTGTCACAACACTGTCATATTATGTAAGTGCGAGATAAAGGTCATTGACCCTTTGTGACGTCAACTCGTTTGGAGAAGGTCAATGGCTTCAGAATAGATATAGGGTGTTAGTATTTATTAATGGGTTGATTAAATTATTGTTAGTTATACAATGATTAATTGATTACTACATAACACTATTAAAACGTAGTAAAACGCCTGTTATTTCCGCATGGGTTAGATCAAGGTCTAGGTTAACTAAAGGCATACATTTAAAAATGTATATGCACGTCAGGTTTACAAAATGAAATGAAAAATGGGATAGCAACGACTACTAAGACAATCTTCTAAAACCAAACATGTACTCGATAATTCTAACATACATAACACCACGCCTTTTATCCCCGAAGGGGTAGGCAGAGGTGCAAATTACGACACTTCACTTTTTTATTATGAGGACCTTGTAATAGAGGGTGAGCCTATTGGCATATAGCGGACAGAATTCCAGACTCCGTGTTACTACTGAGACTTTTTTTAAAGACCTAGTAATACTTTGCCCAACCTGGAAATTGAACTCGAGGCACCTTACCCGGTAATCGCACTTGCGACTACTCGGCCAAGGAGGCTGTCAAGTCATCAATTATTTTATTTATTTTTATTTTATTTAAAAAGCTTTATGCACACAAACAAGCACATGGGTGGACTTTGTTGACTGAATTATCTCCTTTTTTATTATTTCAAATCCTTTCATAAAATTGGAAACTTAATAACGTCTTTGTTTTCTACCAGAGCTGGGAGTCCGTAGATCCATCATCAGCGACCTTCACCCCGGACATCACGCCTCTGATCCTGGCTGCTCACAGGAACCACTATGAAATCCTCAAGATCCTGCTGGACAGAGGAGCCACGTTACCAGTGCCACACGACGTCAAGTAGGTAGAGTACTTCATCAAGATTTCATTTACCCATACTCACTCATATTTATCCACTGATGCATCTTTTTTTAGCCGCTTAACCATGTCACATCACATAAACAGCCTATAAGTAGCCACTGCTGACCAAAGGTCTCTTCTCACACGGAGAAGGTTTATACATTAATCACCATGCTTTCTTAATGCGGGTTGGGCATTTCAAACTTATAATTAGAAACTTTAAGCCCAGGTTTCCTCACGATGTTTTCCTCCACCGTTTGTCAGTGGTGTCTAAATAATCTTAGAAAGTACATATAACTCGGAAAAATTCACATTGGTACTTGTCGTTGGTAAGTTCCAAACCCGCGGCATGGGCATCGTGCATGAAAAGCGGGCGTCTTAAACCTCCGGGCCACAACGACATGTGGTGGCAGGAAAATAGAAGACGAGGGGGTCTTAATATTGCCATAAAAACTAACTAAAAGATACCTTGAACAAGAACAGGGTACTTAGCGCTCTCTGATAAACCTGAACCTATTGAACTGCAATCTCCAGTCTAAAATGCAATCTCCACTAAGGGAATTGTAGCAAATCTTAATTTTTTTCCTTTCCTTCCTAGTCGTCTTCTTCATTACTGAAGGTCGTGTCTAGTCTGGTGCACCCGTCACTTGATGCACAACCCTCCTCCAAACGCCCCTGTCCTCTGCGGTCTTTATGGCTTGTGGAACTGTCAGGCCGGTTAGGTTTTTTACAGCATCCAACCACCGGGTAGGTGAGCGACCACGAGGTCTTTTCCCGTTAACCCGACCAACAACCACAAGCTTCTCCAAAAAATCTTAATTACTACAGAGATAATATTTATGTAGTTTTCAGTAACAAACTTCCTAACAAAATCTTCATCACGACCTGTACATTTAAAACTAACTTAATCCATTTTCTTATATGCAGATGCGGTTGTGACGAATGTGTAAAGTCTTCTCAAGAGGATTCCCTCCGTCACTCTCAAGCCCGCATCAACGCGTACAGGGCACTCTCATCTCCCTCTCTGATCGCTCTCTCTTCTGCCGATCCTCTCTTAACAGCTTTCCAGCTGTCCTGGGAACTGGGTAGACTGAGCAGAATGGAGACAGAGTTTAGAGTGGAGTATAAGGTAAGGAGATTTAAATAAATTTCGTTTAGGTATAGCTTGAAAGCCTTCAAATTTCAAACTAAAGCCAAGGAGGAACAAAGTAGAGCTATTCTCAATTTAGGGAGAATCTTTTGACGATGGCTGTTGGCTGTTGCGCAAATTCAATAGTTCCTTGTATGTTTATAGTATTTTTTGTACCGAGGCTACCTGAATTTTGAAAGATCTATTCTCACTATTAATTATCAATATCTTTCCAAATGTCTGAAAAAGCACAGAAAAAGAAATTAAAATTATTATCTTATGGTATTTCAGTGATTAAATTCTTCTTTTAACCTTACAATTACATTATAAAATCTTTATTCCACAACCTGCACCAATCTTCTACTCATCAGGCTCTTCGACAACAATGCCAAGAGTTCGCTACCTCTTTACTGGACCACACGAGAACTTCCAAAGAGCTGGAAATCATGCTGAACTACAACCCATGGGACATCGACTGTTGGGAACCTGGCGAGAGACAAACTCTCGGCAGGTTGAAACTGGCTATCAAGTACAAGCAGAAAATGGTGAGAAGTGTTATTAGTACGGTTAGTGTAGTGGTTGAGATTTATAGGACCCGGAGACAAAGAAGCAGACGGATCACCTAATGGTAAGCCATGAGCGCCACCTATCACTAGAAAAGTTATATACGATTGGTGATTGCAAAGTGGTCACATTTTTCACGCTATCTTTTCATGTTTTTTTACGACTGTCTGGCATTGACAATCTAATTAGTGTGTATTATCATTAGAGTTATCTCTTATTGGTTAATTTAATTAGGGGCTTTATAAAAATATATATGTTTTACACTATTATTGGTTGGCTACTGAGCCAATCATTAGTTACAAAAATATACCTAACTTTCAAAAATCAAAAGTCAAAATCATTTATTTGAATTAGACCAGCAGCTGTAGCTAAATGTCATTTAGCCCTTGTCTACATGTAGAATAGAAAACCAAATAATATGGAATTGACGTAAATTTTTACATTTCTCAGTGTCATCCTAGTTCTAGTTTAGTTTTCTACTCTTTCTGTAGACAAGCGCTAAAGTGGCGTTTGGCTAAAGGCACAGGAATGCATCTGTTTCCTCATTCCAAGGTGTAGATTCCTATGAAGAAGAATGAGCAAGCAACTTAGTGACGTGTTTGTGATGTGTTTAAAAATCTTACAATTTTATTTAACATACCAAATAACTTGATTGGCTGCACTATTAGTCCATTAGCAATAAAACCTATTTCTTTTGATACGAAACTATATTAATATGTTTGCAATCTAGACGAACATACACCATAACCTCAAATTATTGACTTTAAACAAGATACCCAGGAAGAGATTCCAAAATTATTGCATTTGCGTCATGCCATGCGGTCAATCTATTTTACTCCTGTGGCAAGATGGCGCCGATTGAGTAAACTGAAATTTTACAGCTTATTTGACCTCCAGTTTAGTGTTATCATTTTAAAGACAACTAGTCTTGTTTTTATAAGAACTATCGTGAGACATACTAAATTACTAAATCGACGTCGCCGCGGTTGCGCACGCTGCTCATGAAGAAGAACCCCTCTGTGGTTCGAAACTAGTATATTAGAATAGTGAATAGTATATAGTATAGTATATCATAGCTTTTCTCAGTATATTCACGTGGGTAACCCGCGATTTTACATAACCACTAGTTTTTTTTAGTTTTAATGCCAATTCACCTTTAATTTGTCAAAGAAATAGCTTGCAGTGTTCATTATTTTTAATTGACTTTAAAAGAAGGAGAAGGTTCCTAAGTTGTTATATACTTACATTTAGATTACCAGTTAGATTACCCTGACTCCTGACATAAGTTAAGCAATCATGCTAAGCTAAAAATTATTGAGACAAAATTAGGTTTTTATATCAAAGTTATAGACTAGACAGTAAAAGGCCCAAAACCTTGAAAAAACGTTACCAAGTTAACCAAGTTACAAGAAATATTCTTACTGGGACATAAACCACGGTTACACAAAATCCGATAAGCGGACCGTCTTTTACCTATGTTGGGTTCCGCATTGAAAAGAAGCTGATATCTCCCAAGTGCCAAATGTGAACTTGAAATAGATACCTTGGTCTTTGACCCTTAATCGACTCTTCCCCCTGTGGAAAGAGCAGAGGTCAGAGGTCTGCGTGCACCTAATAATAGGATTATGAACTTTCCTAAAATACATTTTCGTTCAGTTTTAGTAGTAGCACGGAGTCTGGAATTGTGCCCAGTATAGCTGGCAATAGACTCAACCCCTATTACATGGGATTCATAACATAAATAGTGAAAAGTGAGTGTTACATTGTACAGTTGCATAATGTGCACCTGTGCCTACCCCTTGGGGATAAAAGTCGTGATGTTATGTATGTGTAGGTACTTGGCATTAGTCTCAAGGACTTTCCATCGCTCATTTCCTAAATGAAGCCATCATTTTATACCGTGAAGTGAAAAGTGAGTGTTATATTATACAGTGGCAATATGTGCCGTAATCTGCCTGCCCCTTCGGGGATAAAAGATATTGTGTTATGCTAAAATAGTTCTTTTTATCTGGTAATGGACCCAATTTTATTTAGATATCTGGATTTTTACTCTGACTGATTTCTTAAATACGGATTCTTTTACTTTCACATTCAATCCGTTCTTGACCAATTTAACTCGTCGAGTACCGTCATAATAGACACAATTATAGAACAATAGGTTGCGGTCACCGGTGACCGCTTGGTGTCTGACAGTTTAATGTAAGTACATTTTTCTCACTAAATCCAGTATACGTTACTTTTATAATCCCGACGTAAAAACAAACATGAATACTCATGTTTTATGACCTCTCAACATTTTCTTAGGGACAAGTTTTACGTACTTAGAGGTATATGCAAACATACATTATATACGTTTACCTACATACACTTTAACTCAGGCTGAAAATAAGGGTAGGTATCTTATCTTATTTAGATCCTAGTCAAGGTGAAGACCGTAATCAAAGCACGTACCTACATCTTGTTTCTTAGCGTGTGTTCCTACTAAATGTTTTTTTCTTTATTTAATTTTCACTGACGATAAAATAATGTCATGCATTACAATCTCTGAAGAGATAAGCATATATTTGCAGTGATATCATGTTATGTATATATTTTTACCATTGCCTCGTAGCCCTAATGGTCGCAAATGCAACTGGTGGGCAAGGAGTCTTGGCTTCGATTCCCGAGTCGGGAATAGTATTAATGGGTTTTAAAAAAAATATCTGTATTAGCTCGGAGTCTGGAATTGTGCTTGTGCCTGGTATATGGCAGTAGGCTCACTCCCTATTACATGGGACTTATAATAAAACTAGCTGTTGCCCGCGACTTCGTCCGCGTAGATTAAGCCTTCTGACAGAATTCATCATAATCATTTCAGTGCCCAATTAAGATTTACCTATTGTGAAATGATTTATCGTAATTTCAATAAATTAAAAATCCCGCAGGGTTCTTACCAGTCCCGGCCCGATCACGTAAGTTTTGAGTAATAAAAACTTCGACTGTTGTACAGAATCTCTATGAAATAAGTTCAGTGGTTAAAAGATAGAGAGTCCTGGAGCATTGACGCATAGTTCCCGTTCCCGAGGGACTTCTGAGATAAAAACTATCATACGTTACTCAGGTCCCAAATCATCGTTTTACCGAATGTAATTCAAAAAGATTCAATGATTCTAGATTCAATTTTCATTCCCATTTTCACACCAACTATCATTCCCTATTTTATCCCCTTAGGGGTGGAATTCATCAAAATCCTTTCTAAGGAGATACCTATGTCATAGTAACTTTATGCATGCAAAGTCTCAGCCCGATCGGTTTAAAACTGGCAAAGTATCACACAAACTTTCACCCTCTATATTACCCACTTTGGGGTGGAAATGTTCAAAAACCTTTCTAAAGGGACGTGTACGTCATAATATCTACCTGCACGCCGAATTTCAACCCGATCTGTGTAAAACTGACAAAGCCTCATACAAACTTTCATCCCCTACATTATCCCATTGGAGTTGGAAATGATCAAAATCCTTACTTGGAGATGCCTACGTCATAACATCTACTTTCATGCCGAATTTCATCCCTATCGGTGTAAAACTGACAAAGTTTCATACAAACTTTCACCCCTATTTTACCCCCTTGGGGAGTGGAAATGATCAAAATCCTTTCTTAGAGGATGTTTACGTCAAAATATCTATCGGCACGCCGAATTTCAACCAGATCGTTTTATAATTGACAAAGTTCCATACGAACTTTCACCCCCTATTTTACCCTCTTAGGAGTGAAAATGATCAAAATTCTTTCTTAGAAGATGCTTACGTTATAACATCTATCTGCATGCCAAATTTCAACCTGATCGGTTTAAAACTGACAAAGTCTCATACAAACTTTCATCCCCTATTTTACCCCCTTGGGGGTGGAAATTATCAAAATCCTTTCACAGCGGATGCTTACGTCATAACATCTATCTGCATGCCAAATTTCAACCCGATCAGTTAAAAACTGACAAAGTTTCATACAAACTTTCATCCTCTTTTTTCTCGTATAAAGTAAAGGATAAAAAATGGTTATTGTGGGTTATTCCTAAGAGATAAACATATACCATCACGGACTTTTTTGTAGACCTTTTTAAGTTGTACAATACTGTAGTACATTGTTTTGATCTATCTTGTAGGATTCAGTCAGCGTTTGCAATGTAAGCGCAAAAAATGTGTTTTTTTACGACCTCACATTAGAAACCTCAAAAAATTGTAGCCTATGTGTTATTCTGATGTATAAGCTATAGCCTATGTGTTATTCTGATGTATAAGCTATAGCCTATGTGTTATTCTGATGTATAAGCTATATTGTGGTAAAGTTTCATTCAAATCCATTCAGTAGTTTTTACGTGAAAGAGTAACAAACATCCATACATCCATACTTACAAACTTTCGCCTTTATAATAGTAGTAGGATAGTGGAAAAGTGGGTGTTACAATATACAGTGGTATTAAGTGCCATAGGTAATGTGCGCCTCTGTTTAACCCTTCAGGCGTAAAAGGCGTGATGCTGTTAATTTCATTCATCATCGGCCCGTTATCAGCCTCTGCTGGCCATTGGCATATACAATAGCATTATTTTTTTACTTTAGCTACTAACTACCCACTGCCAGCTACCTACCATGCGAATATCAGTATGTAGGATTAGGTAGATACACTCGGCCAAAGTGTCTTAAAAAAAATACTTCTTAAAAATATTATTTTCTCGCAAGTGCATGTATTTCCATCCATTACCTTCATCTGTTTCATTTGAAAATAATCTTAATGCGACCACTCACCGCATTTCCGTTCGTTTCAACGCGAAAATATTGAAAAACGAAAGGAAACGTCGATTTAAAATAAACTGTGACGTCACAGTATATTTTAAATTCGTCACTTCTTACGAACATGTAACTTTTGAATGTTTGAATCTTTTGATCTGAATAAATATTGATTCAGTGCTACATTTTTTTGGTCTTCCTTAAGTCATATGCTTATATTTATAAACAGTTTGGTGACGGCAGAATAGAGTACATTTGTCACCATCCCTATTCTTGTCACGGGTATCCTGAGAACCGATTAACAGAGACCGGGCACCAGCGATTTCTGGTAAACCTGAACCTTTTAAACGATCTTCAACCAGCCTGCCAAGCATTGAGATTTATCGTTAGGCTCAGAGTCCAATAGTGGAAGGAGACTGTTTAGGTGCTGGTGCTGGTGACGCTAGATGAAGAACGCTGGCATACACAGTTCTGCTTCCAACCTAACCCTTAATAGGGATGATGACGGGATATGAAAATTAAAAATCTATTTAGTCCGTCAGTTAGGTAATAAAAAATATTAGACACTTATTTTTTTATTTTGTTGTATAATAAAACAATACTGAGATAAAACGAATCAAAGTTTAGGAGTGGGGCCTAAAACGTCATTTTTACGTATAAGATGTACATAGAAGTGACGTCACGCGACATTTCAAATCAATATTTCGTCGAAAGTATTCTTTTCTGTAAGAAAATAAAAAATATGTGTGTAATGTTATACAATAATCTACCAGACGGACATTAAAATAAAAATTAGGCATTTACTCTATTGGTTGTGTTCTCTACAATGTCCCGGAATTGGATATTTTTTTTAAGGCATAAGACGGTAAACGAGCATACGTATCACCCGATGGTAAGCAATCGGCGTCGCCCATGGACATCTGGAACACCAGAGGCGTTACCGGCTTTTTGGGGATTGGGAGTTTGAGGATCGTTGGGAATTCAGGGATCGGGGAGATTGGGGAAGGGGATGGTTAGAGACCTTGGTAATTGGATTATAAAAAATTAGCTTTTTGTGGTGGATGACATTCCAATCATAAACTACTTTCATTAGTATACATATCTATACATATGTGGATTACAAGTATGTGTTGCTCTCGTCCGTGCGTCACTGCAGGGGTGCCAACTGAAAATCAGTGTTGGGTGCTCATTGTGCCCAGCTTTATGCTGAGTTGGTGACCCGTTCGGATTGGACATGTCCGCCAACACCGCGCACTTGAATGGCTTATTGGCTTGCTTTAGTTTTATAATTTAACTTTTATCTTTTAATTGTTCTGTTTTTATGCTTTTTTTATATTTATGTCTTTTCTGGCGTGCATGTCTTATGCCGAATAAACATTTTTCATTTCATTTCATTTTATTAGTAGCAACATTTAGCAAAAATACACCTTTACCAATAAATCACATAAAAACCAATACGTATACTACAATTCAATCGTCAAAATACTTTCCTAACTGTGTTCTTAACAGCTAAAAACCCCACTAAAACTATCAGCTGTGCACTAACAAGTATCGAGTGAATTAATAGTTTATTTACAAAGATCCCTCCTTTCATCTGCCACCTGTCCCGGTAGTCTAAACAATTTATATTGCACGTCTGAATTAGTTTAGCGTAGGTACAATCTGTAATTGTATTCATGAAGGGATGTGTGATGTATCTATTTTTAAATGATTATAATTATAAAGTTGATTGAATTTTGGTTTACTCATTAATACTGATATTGTAAAAAATAAACGTTTGACTGTTTGTTAAATTTGCATTTTAAATACTGAATCGATTTGAAAAGTTCTTTCAACATTGGAAATCTCTCTTTTGGGAACTATATACATAAGTATATAAGCTAATTATTATGTTTTCGGCTTAGTCGTGTAGGGACGATTTGACGAGGAACTCAACTAGTTTCAGGCCATGCTAGAGACTCATATTCATGAGCAGCATTCCGCGACACGCGACACGTGGCGACTGTCGCACTGCTATGCGCTGCACAGCATACACGGAGTAGCAGCGCGACATTAAACATAATAATTAATTTAGTTATTTAGTAATTTA